ATATATATATATATATGTATATCTGGTAGCGTAGTGGTTACGAATCGGGCTGCGAACCACAAGGTCAACAGTTCAAAACTACCAGCTGCTCTGTGGGAGAAAGATGAGGCTTTCTGATCCCGTAAAGATTTATAGACTCGGAAACCCTGTTTATGGTTGCTATGGTTGGAACCGACTCTATGGCACTTAACAACAACAACAACAACAACAACAAAAAATATATATATATATATATAGAGAGAGAGAGAGAGAGAGCTCTGGTAGTGTAATGGTTATGAATCGGGCTGTGAACTGCAAGGTCAGCAGTTCAAAATTACCAGCTGTTTCGCAAGAGAAAGATGAGGCTTTCTGCTCCCATAAAGATTTATAGCTTGAGAAACCCTGCACAGGGTCACTATGAGTCGGAACCAACTCCACAGCACATAGCAGCAGTATATATGGTGGTGTGCCGTGGAGTCGATTCTGACTCATAGTGACCCTGCATAGGGTTTCCAAGGCTATAATCTTTATGGGAGCACAAAGCCTCATCTTTCTCCTGTGGAATCGTAAACGGTTGGTAGTTTTGAATTGCTAACTTTGAGGTTAGAAGCCTGACTCATAACCACTATGCTACTAGAGCTCTCTCTCTTAGTCTTTCTCTCTCTTTCTATATATGTTGTTGTTGTTTAGTGCCGTCTAGTCTATTCCTGTCTCTCTACCATCTATCTACCTATACATACATGCACATCTATGCACCTTAATGTGTGTGTGCATTTATACGCATATACATATGTAACATAGAGCTCATCTCTGTTTCTCTACTTAGCTGTGTGTCATTTGCCCATACATATACATTGAATGTCAGCGTACTGTGGTGGTTCACACACTGATGATATCTCTGTCTCTCAGTGTATATCTTTAGTGGAATTTGAGTGCTCAAGAGACAGCAATGAGGGCTCTGGCTGGACAAGCAGAGGAGACATTGGCTGTCTTGGGGGAGAAGCTTGTGCTTTTCTGGGTTCTAAGGCAAAAGCACTAGAATTCCTTTTGTTGTTTTCACTCTACTTATTCCAGGATCTGCCTACAAACTGGTTTGCTACTTTACCAACTGGTCCCAGGACAGGCAGGAACCAGGAAAATTCACCCTGAGAACATTTATCCTTTCTATGCTCTCACTTCATCTACTCATTCTCAGACATCAGTAACAACAAGATCATCATCAAGGACAAGAATGATGCGATGCTTTATCAGACCATCAACAGTATGAAAACAAAGTCAGTAGGATGGGGCTGGGAGCATTGAGTTTGGGCTTGAGGGGATGGGCATTAGTTCAATGCTGGATATGAGGCAACTCACCAATGACCTCAATTATTCATTCATTTAAATGTCTTTCATTGTGCATTACCTGGTCTACTTTTCTCCCCAGTGCGCCACCCTTTCCCTGAACTTAGCTACTAAGCAGCCAGGCTCCATTTGTCTACATGATTCACATCAGGAACTCTACCCTCTAGGCAGAGCTTTCCCTGGGGTTATTAATAAATATATAATAAAATAAATAATAATAGTTGTTGTTGTTGTTAAGTGCCATCGAGTCGGGTCCGACCCATAGCGACCCTGTACAGGGTTTCCGAGGGTGTAAATCTTTACGGGAGTAG